AGACAGATTTAATTGCCACTTTAATTTCTACAAATTAAGTGAGTTTCTATGGGAGTATTGATTTTTGTTGGGTGGTTTGAATTTATTTTCTTCTATGACTTTTTCATTTGTCATCATTAATACAATGTTGTTGCTAGAAAAAAATTAAGAATATGGCAGATATTCAATGGAGGTGAGTTCACAAATTAATAGGTGATCTTTGTAGACATGCTGTAACATGGGTTGCAACATGAGATGTAAATGAGAGCAAACTCCTAGTGAAAGGAGAAACAGTAACTGCCAGTTAGCCTCACAGCTGGGAGACAAGTACAGGGTGGGACTGGGCTAAATTGAAGAGCATATATGCTGTCTCAGTGATTCAGCCACCTTTCAGCCAATTTCTGTCCCATGAGAAAAAAAGCTTGGTATTGCCAAATCTGATTTTATAAGAGAAGCCCAAATTTCTGATTTTTTACATGTCAAACTTCCCAATTTTTAAATGGCAACAAACTTAAAAATAAACACTTTTTTTTCCAGATATATATAAAAAAGATACAAGAAAACTCTGGAATCAGAACACAAGAAGCTAGTATGACAGCTTAATTGTTTTGATTAGAAATGGACTCTGCTTCTCCCTATGTTAGACAAATCCTTATATCCCTGAAAAAAAATATATATTTACTACCAGTTTTTCAAATGTGTTTCCTTATTCTCCTAAAATAAGTTATTATATGAACAAATCTATAATCCCGGTGTACAGTTCAGGCATGGGACAATCAAACTACCTAAAAAACAAGTAACATACTGGCCAGCCAGAGATTAAAAATAGAGTTTGCATGCCCCTATCAATGAACTTTTTCTATGATCTAGTTTTATTATCTTTATATACTGGGTTATCATCAAATTAATATTAAATCCTACTACAAGAAAAAAAGTATGTCTAACACTAATCTGTTGAGAAACTAAACTATATGCTTGATGCCTCTTAGAAAATTCTATAATAAGATAAAGAAACTTCTGCTAAATACAAATATGTGCATATGTGTTTTCAAATAGATTTTGAATTATGTTTTGTAGAATTTTTACTTTTCCTCTTATTAAACTATTCCAGGACAGTTTTAAGATGAAGAAATTAAATAAAATAGATATTAATTAAATATTATTAAATAAAATAAATAAATAAGTCAAGCATTAAAGAAAGGCAGACCAGATGATGGTTACATGTCTTTTATTTATGACATTTGAATTTCTAAGCCCACATAGAACTGATTTTATAAATATCCTTTAGTTTTATCTTGCTTTTCTAATTGATTTAATTGTGTTAGTCTATCTTTCTTATAGCCAAACCCTTAATTTAATAACAAATGGAACTAAAAATATAGTCAACATTTTTTTTTCCAGAAGTAGGTAAAAAAGATACAAGAAAACTCTGGAATCAGAACACAAGWAGCTGGTATGACAGATTAATTGTTTGATTAGAACTGGACTCTTCCCTCTATATTATACAAATCCTTACATAATGTCACTGAAAATTCTTACCCAGAGTTAATACCTGCCCAGAGGGAAATAGTCTATTATAAAAGTGTTTTGCTGATATATTTTTTTAAAGCAGGAAAGCAATCATTATTTCAAACACACTTTGTTTGRCTAATTCTAAGAATCACCAGTTTCTTCAAACCAAAGCGATCACAGCAAGAGGAACAACGTTATTATCCAGATGACATCTCCCTCTCCCCTTATTAATTGTGCCTTTCTACCATTTCTTGAAGACATGGCCATACTTTTCCTACAACTTTTTTTTTTTCCCTTATAGCGTGATACTCATCGAGTATGGAAGAGACACCAGGTTAGAGACCATAGGAAGTGATGTGCTTCTATCACTGATAGATTGGCATAAACCACCACAAAGAGATGAGCGGAACTCTAGTTCCTTCATGTTTTCCCTGTTAAAGAGGTGATTGAAAACAACAACCCAACCCAAGCAGTGTAATCTAATGAGATGTTAAAAATAGGAAGAAAGAAAATTCAGGGAGGATAGCCAAAATGGTTGGTTATAACATAGGGAAGAGTTTTGTATGGATACTTAGTTTCTTTTAAAATTCTATAAGTGTATACAAAGAAAGTCAGGACTTAACAAAGACACAACAGGGTTTCTAGAAGGCATGAACTAATTTCTTATCAGGTTTATTATGGTTGGTGACATTCATAATGCAAACTTGGGAAGAGCTTTGGGAAGCTTTCTTAGTTGAACAATAGAAATGGTTACCAACAGGTCAGCCAAGAAGGTGCTGTCATTGGGAGAACTCTAAAGGAAACAAGATTGAAGGACCATTGGGAACAATCTTGAAAAACTTCACAGATGTGCAAATGAAGTTCTCTTTATTATGTAATTACTAATGCTGAACCGTCCCTGGATTTTTTAAAGATGGGACACAGAAAAGATGTGCTGAAATTCAAACAGTACTTTGCTGGAATCAAAGTGGAAGGATTTCAGATATTGTGGAGTTTCAGTAGGTTCTACCAGAGGATGCTGCAGAATTTCTATGCCTGGAGATCTGTGAGAGGAGAACAGATTTTCAATGGGAATGTCACTGACATGGCCTGGGAGGTAGAAGGAATGGATTAAGAAATCTCTCAAAGCTCCTCCCATTCATCCTGAATCTAAGACTCTGGGTCCTAAGAAATGAGAAAATACTCAGGGAAGAAAAAATTGACAACCTAAGGAGAAGGAATGACTCTAGATGAGTGTTTCTTAGTCTACTTTTTTTCCCCATTATTTTTCTACTGAGGAACTTTTTTGGCATTTTACTCCTACTCATGTCCTCCCACCCCTTATTCCATCCTTCATAAGATTTTAATACCACATAAATACTTCGTATCTGATTATGTGCTGTGGTACTTTGGAGGGCTACAACATATTATAAGATCTAAGATTCTCTCTCCGAGAAACATTTGGAAATCCCTCTCAACAAGAAGGTTCTCTGAATAAACCATGGGTCTGAGTGGGAAGTCACTAAGGATAGGAAGATACAATGTTACATGTATTTCAACTCTGGCTATATGACCATACAAATTCTCATCAGCCAGCATGCCCACATATTGCCCACACAGGCAACTGTCCTGTTTCTCTTCYTTCTGTTAAATGGAAAGATATGAATCCTTTGCCACTGGTATATCATCTAACTGCAGTGAGTACTCTCTTTGGGGATCATGGACTCTGGTTATTAAGAAATGGATGCTTACATGTATAGCTTCACCCTCTATAAAAACTAGGCTTAGTGAACTTCAGAGCTTAATAATGAATCATAGACATTGATAATGGTTGGACCAGATAGATAGTACTTGCAGCCACTGATCCTTCTTAATATTATGAAGAGATGTTAGACATGTGCTTCCTGATGTGATGCAATAGGAAGAAACAACCTGACTTACATAGTATTCTTGCAAAAAAAAAAAAAAAAGAGCATAATGAGGAAACAATCAGGAAACCAACCAAACAAAATCCTCCAGATTGTGGGACTTCCAGGAGTAAAGTGGCTCAAATTCTTTAATAATGTCAGTCAGCTGGGTACAGTGGTGCATGCCTGCAATCTCAGCAAGTTGCAAGGCTGGCATGGGAGAATCACAATTTCAAGGTCAGTCTCAGCAATTTAACAAGACCCCGTCTCAACATAAAAAGATTTTAAATATGAACTGAGGATGTTGTTCAGTGGTAAAGTGTCCCTGGGTTCAACACCCAGTAGGAAAAATGATAATAATGATCATAATGATGATGATGTCARAGTCATGAACTGATGGACACACTGCACCATGTACACATAACACAACACAGTGCCCCACAAACACACCTCACCACACGTATACACAAAAGGGAAACTCTAGTCCATTATCTAAAGAGAAAAGCAATAAAAGGCAAAGTGTTATTCTTGATTGAATCCTAGATTTAAAAAAATAAACTATAAAGAATATTTTGAGTCAATTGAAGAATTTCAAACAGGGATTGTGTTGATGTTCAGTTTCTTGGAGGTGATAATGACACTGAAGATGATCAGGGCAAGGGTCATATTAAGAGGAGCTTGATGAAGAATCTTAAAGTTTTATGATGTCTACATCTTATTTTCAAATGATTGAGCACTCAGAACATGTATTTATGGTAAGAAAGAAAATGGAGCAAAATGTTAATTGATACACTTAAGGGCATAAGGATGGACACTCATTATAATCTTTTAACTTTGAAATTTTCACTCCCCCTACTCCCACCCAAGTGGGAAAACAAGGAGGAGAGGGGACCAGGTTGGGAGAAAGAAGCAGGGTTGCCTGTCTCTGACCCAGAGGAATGGAGAAATCTGGAGCCTTCCAGAAGCTCAGATTCTCTATTTGCAGTAAGAGATTTGTGGAAGACAAAATCAGGCCAAAGAGTTAAATTTTTTTTTCTATGAAGACTTTCCTTAGAATTTGCCAAACAAAGTTCTGTGGGAATAGGAACATCCTGTAATTAAAAAATACAAGAGCAGTTTTCTAGAATTTACTCTAGAAGAGTTGATTAGTGCAATTAGCAACATAGCCATGAGGAGAATGTTTCAAGAAGTACAAAAAATGTTTGGATGTTTAAGTTTATTTCATACAGTTAGTAGACAACAACTTTATTAATGACAAATGTCTTCAGATTCTAGCCTTCCATTTGATTAAGCATCATTGAAATGCAGGAACATGTTCAACTTTCTAAATGCAAACATCCTGTGGTTTTCCATGGTACAAAAAATCTCAAGGGCATGGGCTCCATTTCTTTGTCCCACCATCCTGCATTCCCAGGTGGTATTGCATATTACACATTTCAGGAATTAGGGGCTCTTGTTTCCTCTGTATCCTTAAGACAGTTTCCCTCCACCCCAGTCAAAAGTTAGGATGAGAAAAATTCTTGCCTATCTTGGCCTCTCCAAGTTACTTAAGAGAAAAAAGAAAGCTTATTGTTGACCAGCGTGAACAACATGGAGAGAGGTAGCAGCGTTTGGGTTCCATGAGACWATGTGTATAAGATAGGAAGCAAGGATCTGTCCACGTGGTTGGGTCAGTGTCGAAGGCCACTGTGCACACAGTCAGCCCTTTCTTGGTTTGGACAGAGATTTCATGCCCTCTAGGCTTTCGTGATAGCCACAAATGATGTTAACACATTATGTATAATAAAAGAAATCCAGAGTCGCTCATTTCTCTTTTAATTGTTATTATATTAAGTGTGCTAATACATTCTTATCTACTTCCCTCCACCAACAGATAATTCATTACACTCAAATATCACTGGAAGTATTATTACCCCCTCGTCACAGGCTGGGCTGACAGGACCCCGGTTTTTGTGAATGAATCAGAGAAGTCAACATTTCATCAATTACAACTATGTTAGGTTTCAAAAGGCAGGGCACAGTGCAGACTGTGTTATTCTGTCTACTGAAAGAGAAAAATTGGGGAGAAAATGGAATAATGAAGTTAGCTCCAGCTCTACTGCCACCTTGGTAACTGGGTACAATCAATGGGACTTTCCAGAAGTTAATTTTGTGCCATAACATAACATGGCAGAGGAGAAAGACTGGTTGAGTTTCAAGCTCAGAGAGCCAGTAAGTAAGGTGACAAATCAACAGAGAAGGGTGTATCATTGACATACACCAAATAACCAATTGTCCAGCCAGGACTCCCTGCTCTTTACAGAACAAACACCGCACTAATGTGGCTCAGGGATCTTACTGACCATTCTTGGTCATTTGTAACTTTCTTTTATTTCTCTTTTCTGGGAAACAGGAAAGAATATCAATAGAGGAGAGTCAAGGAATGATGCTTACTAAAAAAAAAAAAAGTACATTCTGATCAGGGCAAACTGGTAACTTGTTAGCTTTCTGCGAGTGGCCAGTCTCTTCCCTGGAGTTAGATTGTGAAGACCCTGTTTGGAACAGAGACAAGCCAGGCCCTGGAGTGGTCCCTGATAGAACTGCTTCTTAGGGAAATGGCATGGAAGCTGCCAGATGGGCTTCAGATCTCACAGCTCCACAGCCCTGCAGAATGTGAAGCCACAGGATCCGAGACCCAAAAGGAAGGCTTGTTATAGAAAAACTTGCTGTGTATCCAAAGTTCCCAAATTCACTTGGTACTTAGAAAGCAAATGACYGAAAAGTCAACCGGCTGACAAGACAGGTAAGTGGAAAGGTCCTAATAAACATCTCAGTCTTAAAACCTGAATTCCAGTAAAGCTGAGGCGGCAGGTCACTGGCAGAACCATGACATGCACGGAAGCGCAGAGGCCCCTCCTGGACGATTCCTGAGCCGGAAGGGTCAAGGGCTGGTCCTTCTTCCATGTTGTGGTCTTCTGGTCCACAGGTCTGGTCTAGCAGCACTCAGAGGGTTAAGAGCACATGAAGTGAGTGGGGAACGTGTCTCTYGGGGGTCACTGATGGACTCCACCTCTTCTGCTCCGGGAAGTAGGTGCACCGTTTCATCCAGGGAGGTCCACTTTCTGTCCACCTGGGGCTCCAGGAGGAAACGGCTTTCCTTTCTTCCGAAGGACGAGATGGAGCATTAGTGACACATCCTGCTCGTCATCTCTTTCTGGAAAGCAAGGAGAGAAGGATGGTTAGAAGGAACTATAAGCACAGCAATGATGGGATGAGGATTCTGAAGGCACTCTCAGGACCTGCAGGTTGCAAGCATGGCCCATGAATAAGGTTCAGCATGAGGATGTGTTCCATTCAGTCCACAGGCTTATTTATTTATGTATTTTCTTTAATTAAGGTACTGTTTAAAGAGTTTTACTGTCTTGCCAAAAATCCATGTTGCTTGCTTTTTCTGAAACTTTGTAAGATCTGGAGCCACTGAGCAGCTGGAGTTGAAGAATGGCTGTCCTCTTCAGACAGACAAAATGCTCTCCAGATTGTCCCAGTCCCCCCCCCACACTCTCAGTTGTGTCCCCAAGGGAAGTATCACTTGCCAACCAATATGATAAGTGGATTTGGACAGCTATTGTTAGAGAACAACTTCTCTTTAGCTAAGTTTCAGTCAAAGTTGGGAAAATGAATAATTTCAATATGTAAAAGTCAATAAAAAGCAGGAGGGAGGACATTCTTCATGGAAATGAAGACTGTACCAAAAGTTTCTGACGTGCAGGCACCTGATATTCACCCATAGACATCATGTACCTGGCCTTTGCGGGCATTCACGGATCCCAAATGTGCCATCCTTTCTCTTCCTCTGGGATTCTGCATGGGCTGAACCCCTTGCCTATGACCAGTTCCTGCCACATCCCACCTACCCCTCTTTAACTTGGTTAATTGACATTCATTTTCCCAACTCAGAAAAGATGACKTCCACCTTCCTGAAAGAACTTCTGGCACTCGATACCAACCACAGTGGAAACATCCATTCCCTCCACCTGTGCACACCTGGTCCTGGCATAGGGTGTACTGTTTGGAACCTTTGTGAGTGTGTGTGGGTGCTGGGCATGTCTGTGGGCCCTACTGGACTGCACATTACTAAGGGTCCAGAAGAGGAAACACTTCTCATATTACAACACATGCTTCAACCTTTGTATCCCCCACTCCCAGCACAAGACTGGGCACCGGCTAGGGACTCCTCTTTCATCTCCAAGGATAGTGTGGGTAGCAAGCTGAAAATGAGCTCTGTGCCATTCAACATTTCAGGAGGACAAGGACAATGTTATTTTAATTAGATGTGTGAGTTGTTTCCAAGTTGCATCCAATCACCTTGGCCTACAAAGCAGGCAACATCTGAATCAAAGGAGCTCGACATGGAAGGGCCCAGGTGCTCAGAGAGAGTTATGTTCTAAAACCATACAAATGTGTTGGTTAAAGAAACAATATACAGTGAAGAATCTAGGCACTTTTGCATCCCTATAATACTATTAAATATGGAAAATGACATACAAATGCATATATTGAAAAATTAAGCAACCATTTACTTATACATATTACTCATATTGCGTAGATGCCTGGGAGACAAGACTGCTGTATTCATGGAGCTGCAATCCATTGAGGAGAAAGAGGTGTGGATCACAAGCCAAAGCACCATTTCATCAATGTAAGAATTTATCAGAGGAGAGGCTATGAAGCACAGAGCTACCAAGCTCACATGGATTTCAGTCCTATTTCTGTCACACACTGCCCACCCATGTGATCTCCCCAAACCTCCAGATCTTAATGCCTAGTTTTAGGCACACTTTCTCTAACCCCATATTCCCCTCTTCCACCCTTTCATAGCACCCGTCTTCACAATTGGACTCATCTATTATTTTCCTTCCTCCTCCTGGATTCATCCTTTGTAAAATCCTGTGGATCTGAGAGAGAAGGGTTGTGCCTGTTGTTTGCTGTTGCATTCCCAGAGCTTGGCAAWATTTTGTTTGATCAAGGAGTGAACAGGTCTTCTATGTCCTCATCCGTAATGCAGAGAGTGATACTGACTTGAAAAGGTCACAGCAAGGTCAAGTGTATTAACATATGCTCAAAATACCTTAATTCTTTTTCTGATCTCTTCCTACAGAAAGATGTGGTTCAGAAGCATGAACATGGAGGCAGTCTTTCTTGCTGTGGGGAGGAGGCCTTGGAGACTTTGATTACCACTAGAGAGATGCAAACTTTAGAAGGGAGGACCAATGGGGGTGGAGAGATGATACCTGACTAGGTATCTGGTGTTGCTATGATTGAAGCAGAGGGAGCTGTGACCAAAGCAGGATGTGGATAGGTGAGTGCATAACTGTGCAAAAGAAGAACCCATGCTTCTGGTGAGAGGAATAGATAAACACCATGGCAACTCTGCAACAAACTTGCTGTTCCTTTTTAAGAGGCTCTTGTGGTTTTTTGTTTGTTTGTTTGTTTTTTGAGAAATAGGGCCTCACTAAGTTTCTAGGTTGGCCTCAAACTTATGATCCCTCCTGCCTCTGCCTCCCAAGTCTCTGGGATTATAGGCATGTGCCACCCCACTTGGCAACTGAATTGAAATGTCAGGTGTGTTAACTTTTGATGAAAGAGACAGGAAAAATGAGGTGGGAATGTAACAAGGGTATGTGTGTACATTTGAAAGAAAAATAAAGGAAGATAGTAAATATGGGATGGAAACAATTTTAGCTTTATATCAAATATTATAATTATTTGCAACAGGTTAGCACTTTCAGAAAGAAAGAAACTAGTGTTTGTTAAATACCCATAAAGTGCCAGGTGCTTTGGGGTGGTTATGTCTTTGCATCTGTATAACCTTAAGAATGAATTATGATCTTCATTTGGCAGAAGAGTCCTGGTCTCTGGGCAGGATGATTTGCTGAAGATAAATAGGAAAACTGCAGAGACGAAACAGGAGCAGTTGCATCCATTAAACAGAGGCATCTGCGTATCAGTCCCAGTGTCTGCTGTTCCGCAGGTGTTATGTCACATAACCCTGACCCTGACACATGAAAGATGTGCCATCTCTATGGAATTATGAGGAGGCAAGTTCAGGGAAGGAAAGTAAATTATCAAAGTCACGCAGAATATGGCAGGTGTGGGATTTAAATTTAGGCCTATCTGGCTGCAAAGGTCAGCTCTTTCTACTATGCAATTTTAGTTTAAAGTTTTTCAGACATTCTTAGAAATATGCATTCAAGAGCTGTTGATGTATAAATTAATGACAGGTAGCTGTAAACCATTTTCTGAATTTTCAAGATGCCAGAAATATTTTTTTTCTCCACCTGGACTTATGCCAATTTGAATCATAAACTGCAATGAAGAAATACTAAAACAATTGTGCCACTGAAAAACTGTGGATACTAAAAATATGAAAGTATTATTTTTCTTTTTTAAAGATGGGTGAGGGTGAACAGTTTCAGAGAGGATCTAGACTTATCCAAGGTCACTGAGTTAGTTTGTGAAAACTTAGGATTGAGGCTTTCCTCACAGTGTGCTGCCTCAACATGAAGAAAAAATAAATAAATAAAAACAAAACCCTGTTTCCTGGGATGGCTGTTAAACTTTACAGGGAAAGAATGGTGGGAACGGCAGATCAGAAACTTGACATTTCAATTGGACCCCCTTCAAAAATCTACAAGTCCCCAAGTTGTATKCTAGCACTTGTCCACTGGATGGCGCCAATCCGCCGTTTAAAGAAAGCTCGTCTGCGGTGTGGGCTGCGGGGGCGGGGGAATCCAGCGGCCGTCCCCATCAGAGCCCTCCCGCAGGCATCCAGCAGGGCCAAACACATTCCTTCCTCCAGGGGACAGTGGTTCAAACTACTTCTAAGTAGAGTGCTAARACGATTTTGCCATTGTTGGAGTCAGGGACGCCAGAAGTATTAAGACAGACCACTGAAAGAATTCCAAAAGGTGCTTTTGATTTCCGCAGATGATGAGAATTTTCGGAGAAATGTTCATAGAGCCTTACTCGACTAGTATATCAAGATTTTTTTTTTCTTTTAAACACCAGTTTCTTTCTTTTTTTTTTTTTTTTAATGTGTCCAGGAATAAAGCAGAGGTTTGGTTGAGCCACTCAGTATGGTTTGGTACCTGGTTCTCCACTGCCAACAGCTTGACAAAGGCTGTGGGTAGCCAGGTCCCTCCACCCTCTGCTGACCTGCTAATCCCCACCATTCACCACCCCAGCCAGGCCAATGGGGCTTCTAGCAGTTTCTGGGAGGCTGTTTCTTCTCCCTGGTAAATCCTTTCTGCTTTTCTATGCCTGGCAAATGTTCATATTCTTCAAGTTTCAACTTCAGCTCCCAGAAAGCAACTAATGCCCCTTGTGGGTTGCCCCAAGGCCTTGCTCACATGCCTTACATCACTTTCTATTAGAGTGGGAATTCATTTCATTTTTGCCTCAGTCCTAGAAAACTCTTAAAACTCTTTGTTTTATATTAATGTATGATGAGGGATATTTCTTTCCAAGTCACCTGCAGCATAGATGGTTTGAGGGATCCAGCTATTTTAGGGACAAAATAGAAATTATGGGTCTAACATGAGTTTTTTTTTTTTTCCTGTCTAAATGTAATTATGCACGTTTTCTATTTCTGATGTTTTGAGTTTTGCATAGTCTCTGCATTTTTATTTTAATACTCATACTTTTTTCTAAAAAAACAAGTTATAGTAATTTAGAGAGAAATGAACAGGGAAGTAGGTGCAGACTCCAGATTGAATCATATTWGGTTTTAGAAATGAAGTTACAGTGACCTTTGCCCCTAGCTTTTGTGGGGAACTTCTTCAATGTMTATAACCTCTTTTTAAATTGAAACCGTTCTCCATTTGTTAGCCATTTCAAGAAGTCTTGGTATCCACAGACCAAACTTCCAGGAACTCTATGAGTCAGATGTTACTCTTATCTCTCAGCTTACCTATTTTTATAACTAAAGCAGAATAAATGGTCAAAAGRAATGCAATCACTTGAATGAACAATTTCTGACCCAGTCAAGACTACAAAGAAGACAACTCTTAACTCCTATTTTACAGCACTATGCCATTGCACATTTTAGCAATCTATTTTTTACATAAAATGCATATAGAAAAAATATTTACTAGGTGTTGGCCATCATGCCAGCATAACAATTTCAATAGGTTGACTTTAAGCATTATGAAACAG